GGGTTTAGGGTTTAGGATCGAAGCCCGTGCAACGCTTCTGTTGTCGTGTCCGAAGGACATCATCACTGGCAAGAAGCATTGCTCCCTTGCCATCACGGAGCCCAATGCCGGCTCTGACGTAGCGGCCCTGCAAACCACGGCGGTCAAAGAGGGTAACGCTTATGTGTCTCATCTGAAAACCCAAAGCAAGAAGAGAGGTCAAGTTAGCTTGCCCCTAAACCGTAAATTGACCTAAACCCTCAGCTCTAAACCTAAATTACCCTCAATACCTTCGCCCTAAACCCTAAACCCAAACACCACACTATTTTAACTTTTCAGGCGCGCAGTGCTGTAACAAAGTACAGTCGAGGATGAACTCCCGATGCCCTGAACCGTTGGCCCCAAGGTTGTGAATGGCCAAAAGACTTTCATCTCTGGTGGGATGAACGCCGACTACTTCACCGTGGGAGTGCGTACCGGAACTTCCGGCTTAGGTGCCCCGACATGGCCAGTTGGGGGACTTAGAGTTTGTCGATGTGGGGTCAGGGATGTATGCGGTTTCGGGTTTAGGGTAGCGGTTTAGGGTTTTGGGTTTTTCGGTATTGTTTTTTAGGGTTTTTGGATTGATGTGCAGCTTGCTCACATTAGTTAGGCATGTGGGGTCCTCATTGTAAGTGTAGTAACCCCTGACCAAAATGGGTGCTTCAAAAGGACGCCTAAGAATAACCCCCCTGTAACATCGATTCTCGATTATCGGGTATTTATACATACAAGCATGATGAGCAGCAGTCCATTGTTCGGATTGCAGAATATGAATCCAAACCAGGACCACATGTTGACGGCATCACGGCTAAGTAACTTACCATTGTGAGCGCAGCGTGTCGGTCGTAGGACGGAGTGGCCCTAAACCCTAGATCCCTGAAGCCCTAAACCCTAAACCCTAGATCCCTGAAGCCCTAAATCCAGGTGGTATTTCCTTGCTGATGATTCACAGAGACTTCCCGGGCGTACAGCTGAAGCGGCTGGCCACACAAGGCTGGCTTTGCAGCAGCACCACCCTGGTAGCTCTTAATGATCCTCGGCTGTACAAGGCTTCAGGAGCAAAGCGGCGCAAAGGCAGGTGCAAGGTGTTCCCGCATGAACGATCGTGGTACTAATCCAGTCATAGACAAGAATTCGACTTTCGATGTTGACCTACTTCCCTCTGTCTCTCTTCCGTTGGTGCTCCTGACCTGGCCATCTGACTGTGCCTAACATAGGGGCCTTTCTAATTAGAACAGGGTTTTGAGGCCCCTTATAGTATAATTATAATAAGGAGCCCCCCCAAAACCGTATAGGTAATTATTTAGGCCCCTAGATTTTGTGTCCGGTAGCCAAAATTCTTCCCGGACCTCCGCCGCCAACTTTCACGCTAGCTAGACTCTCAGGACGTGCGTGTGCCGATCGAGAATCTTCTGGGCCAAGAAAACCAAGGCCGAACTAATCCTAGCACCTAGGAGTTCCTCGAGAGCACAGGGGTTGCTTTGCTTTTTGTTCTATTTGGTGTTGCTTTCCTTTTTGTTTGTGCATGAACCCTGTAGTAAAGAATTATACCGTCCATCGTCACCAGCATCATCAGTCTTAGCAGCACCGTGGGCACATCAGATACCCCGCCAAGGAATCTGAATTATAGCTATCAATTCCTGCAGTTCTCCTCGTACATTTCAACTATGGGAACCCATCACTTGCCCAGTTTTGTTGACCGGGGTAGTGGAGGCTTAGGGTGTAGGTCTCAAGGTTTAGAGTTTAGGTTAAGGAGTAGGGTGTGAATAATCCCGAGCATGGCTTTGGCCCAAGCCCCTATTCTGCAACCTAAACCCCTGAAATGTAAGCTTTGCTGTCACTAGTTTCACTAGTTGCATTTGATCCATAAATTGCGGGGTTGCTCTCCTACATCTGGGTTTTAGAGATCCAAGAAGCGACCTCGAATGCAGAGAAATACCCGCATCCAGGCTATTTGAGCTTGAGGGTTTCGGGTTGAGGACCCGGTAGCAACGAGCATCGAGCGACCGGCTAGACCGTCAAATCTCGGGTGTGGAAGCAGTCTGAAACCCTTCACGCCGAAAATCCACATGTAACTTAGGAGCATTCAGCTTGATGATAAACCCTAAACCCTAAACCCTTAAACCCTAAACCCTAAACCCCTAAACCCTAAACCCTAAACCCCTAAACCCCAAACCCTAAACCCTATAACGCGGGACAAGTCTGAGTTGCCAAAAACAATCGCTTTTCATGCATGTCCGATCCTTAGCCTCAAGGCTCCGGACTCTAGAAGCCTGAAATTTAGGGTTTAGGGTTAAGGTTTAGGGTTTAGGGGTTTAGGGTTTAGGGTTTAGGGTTTAGGGTTTAGGGTTCAGGGTTTAGGGTTAAGGGTTTAGGTTTAGGGGTTTAGGGTTTAGGGTTACGAATACTGCATCGCTAAACCCTAAACTCTCCACCCTACATACTGTGGATGGACAAAATCCTGCATGACCTTATATACCTAAACTATGGGATTCATGGTACTATACTATATTTGGGTCATGCAGGATTTTGTCCATCAACAGTACCATTCCCTAAACCCCAAACCCTAAGCCCAGCATCCTGATCCCTAAACCCCAAACCCTAAGCCCTAAAGCTCTGGCTGTTGGGAGCCTACTACTTGCGGGCACGAAAAGAGTCGACCCCAACTGTAAAAAAAAACTAATCCCTAAACCCTAATCCCCAAACCCTAATCCTAAACCCTAATCCCTTATCTCTAAGCCCTAAACCCTCAACTCTAAACCCTAATGAGACGGGTCCAGTCCTTGGCGCCGCGAATATTCCAGGCTTTCACGGTTCGCGCTTGGGGTGTTCCAGGGTCTTATGAAAAAAGCGAAAACACCTCAGGGTTCAGGGGCTTAGGGCTTTGGGTATATAGGGTCTAGGGAGTGTTTCGGAACATGTTTGCCAAGGGTTTTACATCATTACAGCTTTCAGGGTCTCGGAATAGCTGTTTAGGGTTTAGGGGCTTGCGTTTAGGGTTTATGGTTTATGGTTTAGTTTAGGGATAAGGAAGATAAAACCCTACACCCTAAACCATTAACCGTCATGTTGCCAGGCTTTCTCCCCATCATGCTCAACTTCAACAATGAGCGGTTCAGCATGGCCGTCTCAGCATGTCGGATGTCACGGTGCTGTCTGGAAGATGCCATCAGGCTCGGTTGGGGTGTTCTTGTGGCTAAGCCCTGAACCCCTAAACCCCTAAAGCCCTGAGCCCTGAACCCCTAAACCCCTAAAGCCCTTGTGGCTTCAGGCTTACAGTCTTCAGGCTCAGACTCAGGATTCGGGGTTGGGGCTCTGGGCTTAGGTTTTCGGGCTTCGGGTTTAGGGCTTACCTATAGTCTCCATTGTAGTTCCTTTTCGGGGTTACCGTATAGGATCCTTAACATAATACTGGTTAAACCAGAAAAAGGAACTGCAATGGAGACTAGAGGTAGGCCCCAAACTAAAAGGGTTTCGGGCTCAGGGCTTCGGGTTTTGGGTTTTGGGCTTAGGGTTTTGGGTTTAGGGCTTAGGTTTTCGGGTTTCGGGTTTAGAGCTTAGGGTTTCGGGTTTAGGGGCTTAGGGTTTCGGGTTTAGGGCTTCGGGTTTCGGGTTTGGAGCCTTACATCTGGTCTGGGTTTAGGGTTTAGGGTTTAGGGTTTAGGGTTTAGGGTTTAGGGCGTCCTCGGGCTTCAGTTGGGCTCCCGTGGTTTCACCCCGAACCCTGGAGTTGGAGCACCAGGCCTCCTAACTTTTCCTAACTATTTGTCAATAGAAAATGTCTTTAGCTAGATGATGTATATATAGGTTTAGGGTTTAGGGTTTAGGGTTTAGGGTTATATATGTATATGTATGTGTATATACATATATATGTATGTATATTTGTATAGATAGAGATGTTTGAGACCCTATGACTACAACGAGGAAGCTTTCTCTGCCTCCTGGTTTCTACAGAAGACAGACGAAAACCTGGGCTTGAGACATTCAGTCGGTGTTTCGAGTCTCGGTGCCGGCATTCATGCACCCACTGCCCCGTAGGGACCCTACAAAAAAGAGGCTATGGTGGTTCAGGGCAATATAGGGGCCTTAGCAATAGGAATAGGGTTTTGGGGCCCATCATACTAAACATGATAAGGAACCCTCAAATTGTAGTATAGGCAATTATTCTTGGGGCCCATTATACTAAATATGAAAGGAACCCCGAAAATAGTATAGGCAATTATTCAGGCCCCTACATCAGTGTCGAGGCTTCTCTGCACTTTCTTTGTGCATGTTATGTCTAGGGTTGAAGCCGGGAGACGATGGCCTTGGAAAACCCTAAACCCTAAATCCGTTTAGGGTTTAGGGTTTGATTTAGGAGTCTAGGGTTCAGGGTTTAGGGTTTAATTTAGGAGTCTAGAGTTCAGGGTTTAGGGGTTTAGGGTTTATGGTTGAGAAGTAGCGGAGATTCTCTGGGCAAGTCAAGGTAGTGGCTTCTACCGGCGTTAACTTCACCCCTCGGAATCCTAAACCCTAAACCCTGGTCCACCCTCCCTAAACCCCAAACAACTCTGAACCCTAAACCCTTAAATCCCTGAACCCTAAACCCTAAACCCTAGACTCTAAACCCTAAACCCCTAAACCCTAATTACAAAATCCGACAAACCCTAAACCCCCGAAACCCCTAAACCCTGAAGCCAAATCCTGAACCCTGAAAACCGAAGCCAAACTCTGAACCCTAAGCCCTCAACCCAACGTCCCGAAGCTTTACTATAGAAGCCTAAACGGTAGTTTCCGAAAATAGGGGGGGGGTACCTTATTTTGAGGTCCTGACAATAAAGATCCCACTATTTAATAAGGTACTATATTAGGGTCCCCTATTTTTGGAAGCCCCCAATAATTGCCAATGTTACTGTAAGGGTTCCTGATTCTAGTAATACTATAAAGGAGCCCCTAAACCCTAAACCCCTGAGCCCAAAAACCCCATTCTAACTATTAAGGCCCCTACATACCCTAAACCCTAAAGCCTAAATATTTCAGAAGCCTCAACCCCATATTCCGATCCCAGAGACTCCCCTGGCCGAACCTGGAGACAGGCCTTGGAACCCTCAATTATGTAGACCATTGGTTGAGGGTTTAGGGTTAGGGTTTGGGGTTTAGGGTTTAGAGTTTGGATTTAGGGTTTAGGGTTTAGTGGTTTAGGGTTTAGGGGTTCAGGGTTTAGGAGTCTAGGGTTGAAGCAAGGCTGGGGTGGCGGCCTGGCGGGCTTGCATCCTTTTGCAGGAGTTTGGCTGACCTCGAAGGCCACGAACTCCGAAGACTCCGAAGCCTGGTGCACAATGCCGCTGTGATCCATGGCGCTGCCATAGGACCGGCACCAGCAGCAGCCGCAACAGGTGTGGAAGGTGGCAGTGGTGGCGGGTCCTTGGCCACAGCTGCAGCAGCAGCACCTTCAAGTGGTCCCGGTGCTGCCAGCTCAGCAGCAGGTGGTGCAGCCACTTCCACCTCTGGAGCTCGGGCCAAACTCAAACTCATTTGATCACTTCGCCTTGCCGGACAAGCAGTGGCTCCTGTACAAGGCAAGGCACGGTGATCAAAGTGCCTAGGGCCTAGATGTTTCACATGATCTGTTGGTGTGTCCGTGGAGGCCCGTCAGCTGCTGGCTGAACGCCAGATGCAGCAGTGGCAGCAGTGGAGGGTGTTCGTGAACCAGGGGTCCTAGATGACTTTAATACAGCATCCCCGCCAACCTTGTTCTAATCTGTGAGGCCCCTATGTTAGCCGTGGTTCTTATTCTCAACTGCTTCCTTGTGACTTTACCCCAGAATGCCTTGAACGCTTCGCGCCTTTGTCCCTACTTGCGCAAAGCGTAGGGTTCCAGCTTTCAGCGCGAAACCTACATCAAGCTTGCCTTTAAGGTTTAGGGTTTACGCTTTAGGCGCAGGAGTAGCAAGTGAAGAGCAGCAAGAAGGCATCGTCACGGCAACAAGCACACTTCAACAAACCGACACGCAGACACCCTAACGCTCCGGCAAGTGCAGGAGACGAGAGTCTAATCATGTCAAAGCCGAGACCCTGAGCCTTAAGCGCTGACCTTCGGACCCTAATTAAGCCCTAAACTCCTATAAACCCTAAACCCGAAACCCTAAGCTTAAACTATAAACTCCTAAACCCTAAACCCGAAACTCTTAAAGCCCTTTCCCTGACCTTCCGCACTTGGGAGGTATGCGCGTGCTCGGAAGACGTTTGGGAAGCCCCTCATCGGACACCAGGTCCGGTCGGTCCCGCCTTCATAAGCCCGTGTAAGGGTTTAGGGTTTAGGGTTTAGGGTTTAGGAATTACCTGGACCCCAGAAGTATGTAGAATATCAGCCTGTTTATGGGTTTTGGGCCATTATTTTACCTACCTTTGGGGTTTAGGTAGGGATGTTTGGGGTATTTTATGCTTAAGCCGTAAAGGGCTCCCTGTACAAGTACTTCAGGGCCAAAGTATTAATTATGTGGGTAGTTCTTTACATTAGAGCATCATTAGGGTCCCTGTTTAAGAACAGACAGAACAAGCCTACGCTGGGATCTGTACGGATTCAGGGTTTAGGGTTAAGGGCTTAAGGGGTTTAGGGTGTAGGTCTTAGGGTTGAATTAGTCCATCTATGATACCTACCTTGCGTGAAGGCTCTAACCTACACGAGCCGCTGAGAAGGCTTGTCAAAACGATACATAAAACCCAGAAAAGCTCGAGGTTTAGGAATATCCGGCAAGATGATCATCACATCGGTTCCTTCAAGGGTCGTTCTACGCGTCCCTATGAGACTTCCTATCAGGGCTCCGCAAAGCCTTGGAGGTCATCCGGCATAAGCTGTCCGAGATGGCGCGGCTGGTACTGGCCACACATTCGCATCTCGGTGGCTTCAAAGGGTTTTATTTCTCGGCTAGATCCTCAGCCGTAGGGTTTTTTGGTAACTGGGATAGTTAGTTAAAGCGGTGCTTAGGGCTTTAGGGTTTAAAGGTTTAGCTTAGGGTTCAGCGGTCAGGATTTAGGATGGTTAGATACCTCCTAATTGCATAGGTAAACGGAAGCACGGTGACACTCATGATCTCATAGGACTCGCATTATCGAGCATGGACAGAAGTTTGTTGAGTACTTTGATTGGTTTTCGAAATGGTAGCTGCAAGCCCTAAACCCCCAAGCCCCTAAACCAGAAACCCCAAACTGAACCCCCAAACCCTAGACCCTAAACCCTAAACCGTCAGCCATTTATCACCTACTATAGGAGCTTAAATAACTACCAATACTGTTTCGAGGGCTCCAACCAGACCATAAAGGAGCCCAGAACCCTACTCTACCAGAACCTGTGAGTGTTGCTTTAAGCTGTTCATCAAGTCCTTGTGGTAAGTTAGAGGAAGAAATCATAACTAGTAATCGTATTCCTTTATAGTCTGTCTTGACGGGTGTTGTATAGCATGCCGCAAAGCCTGTTTCAACTATCAAGGCACTCCATGAGATGCCCGTTTTTAGTCCGCCACTGGTGCGGTCTTAAAGGCTTCTTTGGCAGCTTCTCAGTCTTTGGGAAGGGTTTAGGGTTTAGGGTTTTGGGTTTTGGGTTTTGGGTTTTGGGTTTGGGGTTTGGGGTTTAGGGTTTAGGGTTTAGGGTTTAGGGCTTATCCCGAGATTAGCTAATCCACCAGCTGTGACACCCAACTGAGGCTTCTGAAGCGCGACGAATGGCTCCTAGGTTTAGGGTTTGGGCTAAACCGAAACCCAAACTCTAGAACCTTTGAAGCAACCCCCTACAGGCCGAATCCGAGAATCCCAGGAGCCCTCTCAGGCTGCAAACTCGGCAAAACCTGTACGCAAAAGGACACAGGTAATCAACCCCTTACGCCGTGTACCCATAACCTATAAGGTGTAGGTTTAGTGTCTCGGGTTTAAATGGAAAAAAGCCTGGACCCTGAACCTACAAATCCTATTCTCCAATCTTTAACCCGAGGCTACTGATGGAAGTCTCCCGCGCCTGGCACTCCAACGACTCTGCGCAGCGTGTGGCTGGGCAGGTTGCACTTGTCAAAGTGCAGGCATCCCGCACGCTGGACACTTGGGTCGAACATGTCAGTCTCAGGTTCAGGGTTTATAGGGTTTCGGTTGGGTTTTGGGTTCAGGGTTTTGGGGGTTGAGGGTAGATGTAAATATGCAATCGTCATGCGTAGCATAACAATAGTCTAGCGCGTCTGTCAGCATTGTAACATTGATGCCATCAGCCCAAAGATTGGCTTTTGCGTTACCTCTGTGCTAGCAGCCGTCTGCCCGAGCTCCTAACTCTCGGACAGGCCCTTCTCTCGGTTGACGCATGGGCATTTGCTCCACGATTCCCGATGCCTTTCT